TATATTTTGCCCTCCATATTTCAGTCCAAGTAAATACAAATACATTTGAAGTAGAACTTTGTTGTCTATAACGTGTGAACATATAACACGTTTAAATAATATCTATCTATCTATCTATCTATCTATCTATCTATCTATCTATCTATCTATCTATCTATCTATCTATCTCTCTATCTCTCTGTCTATCTATCTATCTATCTATCTATGTCTATCTATCTATCTATCTATGTCTATCTATCTATCTATCTATCTATCTGTCTGTCTGTCTGTCTGTCATCTATCTATCTATCTATCTATCTATCTATCTATCTATCTATCTATCTATCTATCTATCTATCTATCTATCTATCTATCTATCTGTCTGTCTGTCTGTCTGTCTATCTATCTATCTATCTATCTATCTATCTATCTATATATATATATTAATCAATTGAAATGTTTTATTGAGCTTCACTGTTTAAAACTTATATTTAGCATGTATTTAAAATATATTTTGGCCAAATGTTTTAAGAACTTTTAAATTGAATTATACAGCAGAATCCTTGTTTACATGAATGCAGAACCATTTTTTTCTGTATTAATGTGACAACATAGTTTCTGTTGCTATTCTGTGTTTGTGCTTTTACAAGCGTCTACCTGTCGAGCAGTGAGCAGAGCTACACTAACATCCCCACTGTCATCAAAACATTGATGTTGTAAGACCTGCATGAAAAGCCATTGTCTGAGATAAATGGACAGGATAATTCCTCTGCTATCACACGTTCATGCTGTGAGGCCTATAAAAATGTCAAAAGCACTTATTTCTTGGTGCACTTTCAATCATGTCATGATGAATACACACAGACAAAAAGAGGAAATTGCATCGTTCACCTCTCATTTGCATCGGAGGACTGAATTTGGGAAAAAACAGAGAAGAGAGAGCAGAATTTTGCAACAAACAGTGAAAAATCCATTCAAAACTTTTTGATTTATTCTTAGTAAGAGGGGGGAAAGCCTCTCTCCATTATCATATGATAGTTTTCAGAATATGTGAAATAAACGTAATTATAAATGTGATTATTTTTAATGATTTATTACAAAAGGGTGCCATTAATGTAAAATACTACATTTTCTATCTAAATTTGTGCACTGTATAATTTGGTTGCATACTTACAGAGAAATCAAGCAGAATACCAGTGAAAGAGATACCTCTTGATTATATTCTGAATTACATAATTCTATGAATTACGTATAGGCTTATATTCTTAATTGAAGGGATCGTTGAAATATGATACACCATAAATTAAGATTGAATGATTTTACTCAATTGACCTACACGAATAACAACGTTTGAAATATCATTCTTGGAAATATTATGCAATATTATGCAATACCTTAATGAATTCTAATAATTATTCAATTAAATAATAAAAACACAAGTAACAACAAACTGGCCTTTTGTGCTAATTCTAGAGGTGTTCTTCACCCACAGGTCTCATTTTAACCTCTCAATTTCAAATGAAAATGCAAATCTAAAATCTGAATTACTGTAACCACAAATTCACAAAACCACATATAAAAATTGATAATTAAATTATAAAAATGATATCACTGATATCCAAAATAAATGAAATACATGTAAATTAGGGTCCCAAAAGGGTGTTTGTGTAGTGATGCCATTGAAGAACCTCAAAGAACCCTTCAGTGAACAGAAGCATTTTTTTCTTATTGTAAAGAACATTTTGAAAATCTAAAGAACCCCTTTCCACCATAAAGAACCCTTTGTGCAGTGAAAACGTTCTATGAAAGTCAAAGGTTCTTCATAGAATCATAGATGCCAATAAAGAATGTGTTTGGCGTGCATATAATACGCAGTTTTCGCGTGCATATGATACGAAATTTGTTGGCGTGCATATGATACGCAATTTTCGTGTACATATGATACGCATCTACCCCACAACCCTAAACCTACCCATGGCGTAGCATATACATATGCGTATCAATACCATGAGTTTTCGTTTTTATTTGCCGTACTATTTATACGCACTTTCATGAGATCGGGTTGTATAAACTGTATCTCAAAGCGAATGCATTATGCTATACTAAACCTTTCAAACAGTAAATTGCGTCCAGTTATCATTCGATAAATAAATATGGTCGATATGCATTTTAATAGGCCTAGTTACAAAATATAACTTTTGGGTTCTTAATATTATATAATATCGGTTCATAGAATGCAACAGTGACTGCCAACTTGATTGGTTCTGGGAGTATTTCTCCGAATCATTTTTACCATAGTGATTTTAAAAAGTCTGTGTTATAAGCCATGAACCAAACCAACCAGATACGAGATGAATTACAAAAAACAATTTCACAACAATTTTTGGTTTGAAGCAAAATGTGTATTTGAAAATTGGACAAAAAGACAAAGGTGTAGATGTAAAGAACTACAATCCCATGAAGCACTGCAAATGACAAACGCATTAAAAAAAGACGATACAGTAGACTGTTGATATAGAAACAAAATATTTAACTTTTATTGCAAAATGTGCATATTATACATACAAACATTTAATTTGTTTAAGAGTGCAGGGAAACTGACTCTAAATCATTTGCAGAGCTTCGTGAGATCTTTTGGCACGATTTACTTGTTGGCAGTTCTCTGATTGGTGGCGATTCTCAGCAGAATCATGGGTAATGTCGTTTTTCACAAGGAATTCCACCGTTAAGCATGATTATTTGAAAAATGTGTTTAATAATATGGGCTGATGGCTTCAACAAAAGATTATCAACCTCGTAGCCCAGAGTAGTTCTGTCTTTAAAGGTTTAAAGTTACTATTAAAAAAACTAACTTCCCTATAGAAAAAAAAATGAACAGGATTTTTACTTTGTGAACCCGAATGTTTCACTCTATTGCAGTTTGAGAGATTTCATTGCCACATACTGTACCCAGTATACATACTATGTACTACACTAAGAGTAGTATACTAGCATGCTTTTCCAAACACAGCCTATATATGTTTTACAAAATCAGCAGCAACATTCCAAATATTATGAGGTATTAACAGTTCTCAAAAATAATGAGCAATGTGCTATTGTCACAAGCACTTATGAATAGACAAATGACTCTTAGTCCCTGTAGGGATTTTTTTTCTGTACATCCCGTCCCTTCAAATGAGAGAGAGTCTCTGCCGCCGCAAAGAAGGAAATGAAGCAGACGAGATGAACCATTTATAGTCCAGCTGAAACCGAGCAAATTTTGCTGTACTGGGCCTGCTGATGAATCCAAGCCGCAGAGATACAGCAAGAGTATACGAAGGTCAAACAGACACAGCTGTGGAGAAAAACTTGCCATTGAAGACTGTTATTTAGGGGGCGCTGCAGACAGAAAACTGGTGTTTTATTCAGGTGACCAAGAATTACAGTTCCCCTATACTGTGTTTAGAAATCATGTACTGTACTGTACAGTAGGGTTTCCGTTTTTGATTAAATCAGGAATGTAACGTGGTTTGAGTGACACAAAGCAGCTGATGAGTGTGTGTGTCCAAGTAAAGTACCATATTGCACGCTCAACCTATGAACTAATTCCTCTTTTCAAAAATCTTTTTCATTGCTGTGTACCAAACTCACAATAAAGATGGTTGCACAATGCACTTTTAATGTTATCTGCATTGCAAAGTAGCAGCATTCTGTGACGCTTTCAATATGGCAGGTACCATTTAGAAGCAAACTGCATTACAATGCTGGGAGATTCAATCTGCAGCTTTCAGCGACAAGGGGGATCTAATAAAAACAAAACCACCAAATCTGTGATGAAATTACGTCTCCTCTGTACAAAGACTTCAAACGCCTTCAACAGCTTGTGACTGTTAATATATTATCCCAGCATGCTCTGGGAGAAAAGCTGGCTATAGGCAAACCAACATCATTTCATTACATCATTGCAGCTTATTGTGAAGCTAGCCATTTTGTTTAATAAAGGAATTATGAGTGATTTTTGTCCATGCAAAAATCACCTTAAATTGGCAGGGTGTTGCTATGAAGTTGCTAAGGTATTCTGGTGGGTTTCTTACAAAAATGTCCTTCCTTCAGTGTAAATTTATGGGATTTTTACACCTGCCTGGTGAAAATCATGAGTCTGATCACTTAGAAAAGCAATAGAACACCTCTCTTCAACAAACTACGCGATTTGAGGTATCATGTCTGTGATGCAAGATAGGAATCCCTAAAAAGTGAGTTCAAAATGAGGTAATGGGCTAAAAAAAACAGGACATTATAAATCTGTTGTTCTTGGTCACAAGACATTTCGTAATACTGTCAGCTGTAAAAGTATGTTTATGAGGTCATGTTGAAATTGGAAAATTGGTAGATTAACAACAGGATATGAAGTAGTCAGAAGTCAAACGCACTTCATGTATGATGCCAGCAACACTAAGATCAAGGGTTCGACTCCCAGGGAACACATACTGATAAAATGTAAACTTTAGAGGTACTGTAAAATGCACTGGATAAAAGCATCTGCCAAATGAATAAATGTAAATGTAAAAAATGTTCCATGTCGTTACCACACTGACTTGCGATTGCATATGAAGCACTTGGCAGACTGCAATGACAACGGCAACATCTATATGATACATATCGCAATACATATATTGCAATTCAATGTCATGATATCGAAATGTGATCGCGACTGACACTGAACCAAATGTGTGTGTGAATCGGTCAGTCTCTCTAATGCAGATTCAGAGTTTAAATTTAAAGGGATAGTTCACCTAAAAATGAAAATTCTGTCATTAATTACTCACCCTCATGTCGTTCCGAACCCTTAAGACCTTCGTTCGTCTTCGGAACACAAATTAAGATATTTTTGATGAAATCTGAGAACTTTCTGACCCTCCATAGACAGCAACGCAACTACCACGTTCAAGGCCAAGAAAGGTAATAAGGACATTATTAAAATAGTTAATGTGACACGGACTAACGAAGGTCTTACAGGTTTTGAATGACAAGAAGGTGAGTAATTAATGACATGAATGAATTTTCATTTTTGGATGAACTATCCCTTTAAGGCCTTGACACACCAAACCAACCTAGCAGCAACGAAAGCTGACTGTTGTTGCCTCGCTTCACGCGTTTGGCCTAAAAGTTGCACTAGAACATACTGCGACGGCGACAGCCAGCTAGCAGGTACATTCTGTGCCTACATGAGAGAAAACAACTGCATGTATCAATAGTCTGTATTTGTCATTCAGAAAGGGAAACCAGAACTAAGACTGCATATTGTATATACAAACCGTAAACAAAGCCATTTTAAATAGGAATAATTTTTTTTTCCAGATGAAAAATATGAAAATATTTGGTTATTGGATGTTCAGGTCAGATGACAAAAAATTAGAACAGTCTTCGGGCTGTGCCGTCTTGACTTCTGTGCTTGCATTCATGACTTTTGCTTTTATTCTCATGCATTTGTTTGTTAAACCGAACAGCCTGTAAAATCAGAGTTCTCTCTCAATGAATGTCGATCCAACATGCTTAATAGGCCAAAAAGCCCCCAATAGGTCGGTGCTGAACACACCACAAAAACTAGCCTGACTGATGCTCTACGATGGCTTGACGTTGGCCGATGTCGGTTTGGAGTGTCATGGCTTATATTCAGACAACCTGATTGAACTGTAGGAACTGTAGGAAATATGAATAAAAAAAGCAAAACGTATTGAAAAATTGTGGCATTACAATATTCATAGATTCCAGAATATTAGTATTTTAAGGGAATAATGATGTTTTTGTAAGGACGTTTTTAGCATGTCATCATTCGTCCACAATTTTCCGAGTCAAAATCAGCTGAGGGTTACTCATTTGAACATTGAAATGGCTCAAAGCATGTGTGGTTTTCAAATACGGTGACGCATCGAATGATGCAATCAAAACCAGATTTTCAAGCCTCCTGTGTATAACCTCCCATGAATCACAGCAAGTGTCAGAAACAAAAGAAACAAACAAGGCCGTCTGCTGGGCAGAGATGGGGAAAATTGTGGGCCGAGAATCAAGGTAGCTTGTTTTTCTCCCCCCTTTCAGTTCGCCTTGTCCCCATGTGTATTTCCTCCCAGTTCCTCCAGGCTCACTTGTAGAGGAGCTGCAGTCGGCCGGGGTGGCAGCTGTTGCGGTTGATCTTGCCGTCGGGCTGGTAGAGGGTGGGAGGGAGGGAGTGGTTGTCGGAGACAGCGAGGGGGTATCCTGGTGGCGGGAGGAGAGATTTGGGATCGTTCTGAGGAGCGGGGAGAGATGGAGAGCTGTGGTTCTGATTGGAGGAGGTGGGGCGTTTCCTGGAGCGCAGGGCCTGTCGCTCTGACAGCTGGTTTCTCAGCTCTGAGACACGTTCCTCTTTCTGTCGGGAGAAAACACAAGGCCAAATGAGAAACTAGTTTCTGCTGAGCCTAAAAATATTATCAGTGAAGTTATGAAAACCACTGAGAATAGGAATATGAAAGTAAACTTGACAATCTGCAACGGCTCTCATGGCATTTTTAGTATTAGACAGGATACGGGCAAATTAAGAATTTAAGAATGAGCTCCTTTTGCAGATGAATTTGAATTGAACTGGCCACACGACCCGCAGGATGCTAAACTGGAATGACAGGAAGAGGATTTTGCTAAATCATAATTCAAAGAAATTACAGTCACGGTGTTGTTATTGTTAACTAAAACTATAAAAAAAATCATCAATTGAAATAAAATAAAACAAATATTAGACAAGAACTTAAAGAGGACGACTAACTGAATTAAAATACAGTTTAAACTAACACAGCAAAATGACTAAAACTGACAAAAATTACAAAAATTATTAAAACTTGAACTACAATTTAAATGAAAACTATTGAAAATATTAAGAAATACTATAATAGTATATAAATTATGCTAAAATAAGTTTCTATTGCATGCCACAAATGCATTTATTATACAATTAATTCTGCCTGTGCTGATTTACTCCTTCGTATGTAGACATTTTTCTCATCAGGTTTCTTTAAAGGTCCCATGACATGCTGCTTTTTGGATGCTTTTATATAGGCCTAAGTGGTCCCTAGTACTGTATCTGAAGTCTCTTTACCGAAATTCAGCCTTGGTGCAGAATTTCAGCCACTACGAGCCAGTCCCACAATGAGCTTTCCTTAGGACGTGCCATTTCTGTGTCTGTAGCTTTAAATTCTAATGAGGAGGAGAGAGGCGGGGCAACTGCCATGCTTCGCTCGTTTGCAAGCCATGTCTCTCGAGGAAAAAAAAAAATTGCGCTCGCCTTGCACGGTAGTAGCTAATTTTCTCATGGGCGGGCCAAATTCTCTGGGCGGGCAAAGCAGAGAAAGGGGAGGTAACCTTTCCCCGTATGACGACATAAAGGGAAGATTCCAGATTGGGCCATCTGAGCTTTCATTTTCTCAAAGGCGAAGCAGGATACCCAGGGCTCGGTTTACACCTATCGCCATTTCTAGCCACTGGGGGACCATAGGCAGGCTTGGGGAACTCATATTAATGTTAAAAAAATCTCATAAAGTGAAATTTTCATGCCATGGGACCTTTAAAACAAGTTCATTACTGTCAAAACAACACCAAAAAAATATCTACCACATTGTTTTCAGATCACTCATAAAATAATTTTTGACATTAAATTTGGAATCCATATAATCTATTGGTCTTTTATGGCTCAAGTCTACTGATAATAAACTACAAATTCCATATTCCATTAATTTTGGTCATATTTTTTTTTGCCATAGTGAAATGGCAATTCTATATTAGTAATATCAGCTTAATTTTCATGAAAATTAGATAAATATAAAAAATATATTATGTACTGTAATGAATATATAGAGTTAACAATATATGTGGGGAAGCCATGTGCTAAAATTTGACGATTGTCACCAGATCTTAAGGTTCTCCACCCACAAAATCCAATTTATCGGATTATTATGTGCATTACCTTGTCTTAAGATCTCAGTGTTCAATTTCTGAGGCAAAGACAATCATTGGAAACTACGTTTGGTGTTTTTACTTTCAGATTAAGGCAACCGGGAATGAAAGTGGCATACATTATACCACTGATCTTTTCAAGAGCATCAGTTATGTACATGGAAAATGAAGTGATTTTCCACCATGGTCCATAAAATTACAATGAACTATATATATAATGTCATGTAATGTATTGTTGAAAACTACACTTACAGCACATATACTTTTCCTTGAGTTCTTGTTCCTTTAATAACAAGTACAATTCTGCATTGTTACCCAATACACATTCTAAATAAAATGAAAGGCATTCTCAATTCAGTTCTGAAATGTGCTCAGTATGGTGTTTATCAGACATCCTCAACAGTGTGCTGGAGAAAGTGAAGGTGACACAGAACCTCCTGGATGATCTTCTGCAGCTCTTTGTTCTCTCTCTCCAGCTGGCGGGATTTCTCTTCATCGTTGTTGTTTGTGGATGAGCCGGTCTTCATGGTCTCCTGCTGGTCCGACTGCCACTCACCACGAGTGATCAGCCTCCGCATCTGCACCAAACACACAAACACACCACACGAGGCTCATGTTGACAGAATATACCAGAATATATACAGTCGATATAAGCGAAAGGTAAGCAACAGGCAACAATAGAAATAATAAAAAATAACAAATCAAACAGTCAGCAATTATGAGTTCAAATAAAATTAGACTATACTTATTGAGTCATAGTGTTATTATCTTAGAAATGAAAACTGTTATTTAAAATTTTAATTTAATTTTGCATATGAGAGCCTCTTAGCAGTCCAATTAAAGAGTAATTCAAAGAGATCAGGTTCAAAATATTGACTGATATTGCTTGGATTGCTCAATTCATTATTCAGACTGAAAATGGATGGGTAAAGTGCATTGTGGGATACATTGTTCCACACATTTTCCCAGATGAAACAGGTGATCAGGATGCAACATAAAGAAAACATACTATGCATACAGCAAAAAGGGTCTGGAGCAGGGTTATTATTAACTAAAACTATTTTGTTAACTGAAATAAAGCCGAAACAAAATATAACTATTAGACGAAAAACTTGAATTAAACGAAAAATGGAAATGTTGCTTTGGCAACTAATTGAAATAAGTTGAAGAACTAATGTTACTAACTGGAATAATATGTAATATATAAAAAATAACAACATTTTAAATGATAACTGAAAATATAAAAATAAAAGCTAATTCAAAATATTAATAAAAACTGTAATAGTATAAAAATAATTCTAAAATAACACTGGTCTGTGTGTAGACGCAACATGTCGTCTTTCTCTGTACACATAGCAGCTCTTATCGGCTGTTGTGCAAAAGTACTTTTATGTCTTTACTTTCATCTCTTTCATATTCTCCTGAGATGTGTAATAACACCTGTCTCCTCTGCTGACACTGATTACACCACATCTCCATAACATCGTCACTTAAGATTTCACGAGCAGACCGCTGAGAGAGATGCATATGTCACACATTTACACGCCTCTTTGATCACTCCTTCCCCTGCTCTAGTTATCCATCATCAATATTCATCACTGTAATGCAATATTTACATTAGTGCTCCTTCTTGTTTTCAGAAAATGATCTTCTGTTGTACCTTAGGGACGAAGAGGACAACCAGAGTTATGTAGACGGAGAAGATGATGGCCAGCGAGGCGAAGGCGAACGAGGCGTCCTGCTTAGACGACAGAATCATGGTGACGGGAGCCGTTATCATACACAACACCTGAAAGAGAGACAAAGAAGCACATATACAAGTGTCTTCAACTATGGATGTTTACATAACACTTTTCACCCCTCATTTCTTCAGTTTGTCTATTGACAATGTCCAACAGTGTTGTTACTGTTAAGTAAAACTATAAAAAATATTGTTTCCAATAACTGAAATAATAAAATCAAATTAAATCAAATTAAAAAATAAATAATAAAAAGTTAGATGAAAAACTTCAACAAAAGATTATAAACTATAATGTTTATAACTAGAAATGTTGTCTTAATTTGAAGTACTAAAATGACTAAAATTAAAACTGAAATAAAAATGAATTAAAGCAATGTACATAATTTAAAAACCCAAAAACTAATAAAAAACATTACAAAACACATAACATGAATATATATATATATATATATATATATATATATATATATGCATAGATAGATACAGAGAAAGCTACTCTAATCAAATAATAATAAATACTATAATATTATATAAATAATACTAAAATAACAAATATCAAAAGAGGGTTCTGTCATTTCTTCTAAATAATGTTTTTTAACCAATGTTCTAAATTCTTAAATCATGAATTGCATAAATCATGCAATACATGTATTGCATTATAAATTAGATTTGAAAATTTTTTGGAATAAAATTACCAAATACAAACAATTAATATTTTCACACTTTTTGCTTAATTTTATAGATATTGTGATTGGAAATTATGCTAAATACAAATTTCTCAAATGATATTTACTTTGACTTTTCCTTATACATGTTTACACAATAAATATTAAAATGGTTTCTAATTATTTTCATTTTTTTTAATTAACAGATTTTAATAATTTATGATTGCAAATCTGGGTATGGGACAACATTTAGCAATTCATTTAGTATATGCATAAATGACTATTCATTCAACATTTAGTAATAACGTATATGCATAAATGGCTATTGAAAAGTAGCAAAAATAAATGATGAAGGCATGATAATATATTTACAAGATCGTTTATAACGTGTTCATATAATAAAAAATGTCTTCTGAAGGCAGCGGAGAGGAGGACAGAAGCCAGGAGAGAAAGAAGCATGAATCAATAAATATTGATCATCAGTCAGTCATTTATCTTATCCAGGCTAACAAAAAGAAAATGTTGTCTGGCATCAACAGAGGTGATCTTTTTTTGCAGGGTCATTAGTTATTTGGACAGGGCAAAAAGTGCAAAGCAGTCTCTCTAAATCAAAGCGGTTTACAGCTGGACTCAGCAGCAGTAGCCTACGGCTTTTACAAAGCCCATTTGAATCACACCATGACAGAGCAGTAATGATGTATGGGAACCTGCACACTTTTAGCTTAAAATGCATGGCAATGCTAAATAATGCAAACAATAAGTGAAGCCTGAATGCAAAAGAGCAGCAAGCCGATCTTTAAAATATTTTCTTTCATCTTCCAAAGAAGAATGACAGTCATATGGCTTTGAAACAACACGAGGGTGAGTAAATAATGACGGGATTTACAGTATGTCATTATTTAGTCATGCTCAAGCCCATATGACTGTCAATTCTTCTGTGGAACACAAAAGAAGAAATTTAAGATAATGAATATATATTGGCAGTTAAAGAGATAGTTCAGCCAAAACTGAAAATGAAAAACTGTTTCAAATCAAATCAAAAAAAGTTTATTTCTTCTGTTATACACGAAAGACAATATTTTGAGTGTGGGTAATCGAACAGCTGCTGATCTCAACTGACTTCAATAATATGGAATAAATAAATACTATGGTGACCAAAAACTGTTTGGTTTCCCACAGTCTTCAAAATATCTTCTTTTGTGTTCAACAGAAGAAGAAAAAAACAGGCTTGGAACAACTTGAGTAAATGATGACAGCATTTTCATTTTTGGGTGAATTATCCTAATAAAAGTTAACATTCTAGCTTTGAGTGAGGAAAAAAAAATGAAATTGAAGATGTTATTCACTGTTTATTTCCTCAAGTTTATTGTTGGGCGCACTATTCTTTTAAACTCACATGTTTATTATGAGCATATAAAGTATTTATGACTAATGTACGATATATTGTATGCATCATGCAGAAATTGTTCTATGTTATTTTACTGAGAGGAGGTTATTAATTTTGACCTGCCAATCAAATTAAACATCAAATTAAAACATTTATGTTTAATATTGCACGTGGTCTCTTCCAAATAAATAACATTTCAAAAACCTCCATGCATTCTGTTTCTTGATTCGGGTGTCAAACTAGTCCTCAGAATATTAATTTAATAAATCGTATTAGTTTGCTGTGAACTGCAGCGCTCTTGTCTTTATTATTGTCCTCCAAGCAGCTGAAATTCTAAAAAGTGATGGAGTTCGTAATGGCATGGCAGATGGCATCTGAAATCATTTCTTTAGCAGAATGGGCATTTGCTAAGGGCCAGGAGTCGGCCAGTGACTTACAAAAAAAGAGAGTGAGAGAGAAAAGATTAAAATGCAAAATTCGGCCCCTTGCTGATCTAAAGTCTCTCCCTCAATTTGAGCTTAAATTGGGTTCAGTATATAATGGATAATCCTCGGAGGCCGAGATGAAGAGAGACACACTGCTTCAAATTAAAAGCTTACAATGAAAAAGCTGATGGACAAAAGCTTGGTGCTTTATTTCAAATCGACCTTCGCCATAGAAAACAGACCAGAAGTCTTTATGGCAAATGAAAGTAGATTCCCATGTATTTAGCCTTCACATTGAGTGTGTTATCAGCGTGGTACGTGCTGCTTTCCTGACTCGTGAGCCGTGGGGCGGCACTGAAATGCTAAAGTGGAACAGACGAGATGATGTAGAAAAACAAACAACTTTCAACATTACTGAGGGACCACTTTACTTGAGTTTTCTAACTACTTTAGAGCTCCAGTCTCGTCAAACTGACGTGCACGCTTATTCCCGATGATGAGGGGAAGCTCTCTTTCCCCCCTTTTCCCTGTCCTCTGGAAAACTCTGCGTCCCTGGACAGCATTCGAGATGGCAGGCTCAGACACTTCACTTCCATCAAATCTTGCAGAGCCACACACTGAAGAGCTCCAGGCATGTTCTTCCTGCTTATGAGTGTGTTGTGACACACAACAGCTCCAGACGGACACTGCGTCTAATTCACACGCCAACTCCCAACTAAGCTTGAGCAACGAAAGGAAAAAACCCACCGCGGTGCTATTTCAGTCACGTCAGCTGAACAATTCTACCTTTTAATTGGACAATATTTGGGTGACGACTGACATTTCAAATGTCACCCAAGGCGCTCTTAAAATGTCCAGAGGGATAAGTATAAAAAGACGAACAGACTCACAGAGACGTTGTAGATGGCCATCCCAACAGCTCGATGATCGTTTATTTTTTCAGTGGACACAGATTTGGTTTCATAAGCCAGAAAAATACCCAGAAGGAGCAGCAAACCCTTATAGCCATAAACGACACCTAAAAGACAAAACGGAGACAAAAATAATGAACAGGTTTTCAAAACATCCTTATCGTCCTTATCATTGTTCCTTCACAAATCACTTCAAAACTCACTATTGATGGAGCCAATGTTGCTGCGTTGGGCCACTCAAACAAATATAACAGTTTAGTTTATTTAGATTATATTAAAGGGATAGTTCACCCAAAAATTAAAATTCTGTCATTAATTACGCTCCCTCGTGTCGCTCCAAACCTGTAAGACCTTCGTTTATCTTCGGAACACAAATTAGGATATTTTTGATGAAATCTGAGAGCTTTCTGACCCTCCATAGACAGCAACACAAATACCAACACGTTCAAGGCCCAGAAAGGTAGTAAGGACATTATTAAAATAGTCCATGTGACATCAGTGCTTCAACCATAATTTTATGAAGTTTTATGCGTTCACAAGAGTACCACAACGCATGCATGTGATGCTGCTGACGCACGCATGCGTCGTGGTACTCTTGTTGAGGACACGGAACACGGAAGAGAAGAAATTAGTGCATAAAATCATTATGTTTGTTTTCTTTTGCACACAAAATGTATTCTCGTAGCTTCATAAAATTACGGTTGAAGCACTGATGTCACATGGACTATTTTAACGATATCCTTACTACTGTACCTTTCTGGGTCTTGAACGTGGTAGTTGCGTTGCTGTCTATGGAGGGTCAGAAAGCTCTCGGATTTCATAAAAAATATCTTAGTTTGTGTTCTGAAGATGAACGAAGGTCTTACAGGTTTGGAACAACATGAGGGTGAGTAATTAATTACAGAATTTTCATTTTTGGTTGAACTATCCCTTTAATATACCAATATAATATGATATTTTGATTATTTACACTACTGTTCAGAAGTTTGGGGTCAGTGAGAATTTTTTGTTTAAAAAATAAACACTTTTTTCTTCAAATTGATCAAAAACAATTCATATAAAGGCTGTATTTTTGAACTTTCTATTCATCAAAAATTCTCTGGTGTTTACATTATTAATATTGATATTAATCAGAAATGTTTCTTGAGGAGCAAATCAGCATATTAGAATGATTTCTGAAGGATCATGTGACACTGAAGACTGGAGTACTGATGCTGAAAATTCAGCTTTGCATCACAGGAATAAATTATATATTAAAATATATTACAATAGAAAACTGTTATTTTAAATTGTAATAATATTTCACATTATTACTCCTTTTACTGTATTTTTTATCAAATAAATGCAGCCTTGGAGAACATCTTTAACAGTCTCAAACTTTTGAATGATAGTGTAAATTACTGTGATATTTATTTAATCAAGCCAAATCAAAGTCTCATCAAGTTTATGGGTTTAAAAAAAAAAATTGTTATTTTTTTTTTACAGTGCTTCAAAAACAATATACAACAATACCAAGCATATTTCATTGAGCTTTCATTTGTTACTACTGATTGTTGCTTGTCTATTATTTATCATCACCTTCTTGTCTGACCATTAAATCCACAGCAAACACCGCTGGTGTAATGAAGGTCGCAGATGGGGGGGTGCATATTTAATTTAACTGAGTGTTTGCTAAAAACCAGCTCACTCTCAGATGATCAAGTCATTTCAAGCTCATTTGACTTTGGATGTGACCAAAAATGGTGCTACCTGAGTGGGTGAGCTATTTACCATGTAATTAGTCCATCCATTTCCACCAGTTTGATGTATTCAGTCCGATGCAAACATGATAGGTGGACATTATCACACTGACAGGGTAATCAGTCAGTCGCAGGCGCTGCCTGCTCCCATGACTTTTGCCTGCATTTAACCATTCATCCCTCACATCCACACCTTTATGATCTCACTGAGAACTCTGCTATATTTGGTTTGTTTTAGTTCTGTGCGATCAATTATTTTCTCATCCAGATGTCGTAAAAAAGTACACTACCGTCCATTTGTCCTTGGACCCTAAATGGTTTATGCAGAGAAACTGCTATGACAGAAAGTATTTGTATGACAGGTCTGTTTACAGGCAGTTGTGCTCGTTTCTCACGGACTTTGCCTGAAGAATACACTGAAGGCTCATTTTACTGACCGTAACTGGAAGAGCAAGGCCGGTCCAATTTGTCTCATAAAGGTAGCAATTAATTTGTTTAATTAGTTAAACACTTACAAGTAGGAAACACCTGAGAAGAGAGGCTGAAGGTCGAAACCACTGGGGTTCCTTCATTAAATCACTTTCACTTACAGGCTTATAGGCTTTGTTCAGACAGCAACTATTTTTTTTGTGTGTCCAACACCATGACAAGATCATGAGGAACAAGAGCTATTGGTCTCGTTTATTTGCATGCACCATCTGTGTTGTTTTAGTATCTGAATTAATATAGTAATTATGCAAATCAGGTAATGACGCAAACATGGTCAAAAAATAACGCTGACCACAAGCTGCACACTGTAATTCCCATCTTGTGGGTCAGTTCTGAGCATTAGGTCATCCATGACACAGCAGACTAACTCTAACCTTGTGAAAAAAAATTCACTTTAGCATAAAAATATTCCTGTAACTAATACTCAAGTGCAAAGTGACTACTGTTTTCAGACACTTACAGATCTGGCCACTGAGAATGCGTACGCAGAGGAAAGGGATCACGCGTGCCTGACGATTTTTTTTTTTTAGTTTTTAAGCCCTGGCTCTCACCAATCGTAGTAAGTTCTTGCTACAGATGGTCTGTTAATGGGAGATGAGAGGGTCTGGGGCAGGTCCGGATTGGCTAATCGGGAGCACCGGGAGAATTCCCAGTGGGCTGGTCTGTTTTATGGCCGCGAGAGCCGGTACTGTCATGCCACTGCTATGTGGTTGAAATATGGATGCCCGTATTTAAGGCATCAAAGAAGCGTCCCGTATGAAAGCTATAACACAGTTTGTCCCGTATTCGCAGGCATACACCATATGACCACCAGACCATATGAATAACAAATTCTCAATTGATAATGAATCATTATTTTTGCACAAATTACTGTTTTATTTGTGAACGTAGTCATTCGATGAAGGCTTTAAGACCAAGCGAAATCCACTGCCGGCTCTCGCTTCACAGCGAGCAGGACTCGCTTACATCCGCGATTTGATTTTGGCAAATCAGTTTAAGCGGATGCAACTTATTGATCATGAGCCCAACATTTAGCAAGGCAGGAAAACATTTAATCTACCTGAGGGAAGACTTCTTTCACTACTGTAGGTTAACGATGTTAAATAGAGGGGGAAAATACATTTAAAGAATTTAACTTCTAGCGCATTCTTAAACTCGGACTTCATTTGTGACCCTGGACTACAAAACCAGTCATAAGGGTCAAATGTTTTGAGATTGAGATTTATACAATCTCTGAAAGCTGAATGAATAAGCTTTCCATTGATGTATGATTTGTTAGGATAGGACAATATTTGGCCGAGTTACAACTATTTGAAAATCTGGAATCTGAGGGTGCAAAAAAATTAAAATACTGAGAAAATCGCCAGTTCTTAGCAATGCATATTACTAATCAAAAATGGTGTTTTGATATATTTACAGTAGGAAATTTACTAAATAACTTCATGGAACATGATCTTCACTTAATATCCTAATGATTTTTGGCATAAAAGAAAAACGTCTCAGGTTACGTATGTAATCCTGGTTCCTCGAGGGAACAAGACGCTGCGTCGGAAAACGCTAAGGGAACGCCTTCTGTGACCATGCTCTGAATCACATGTGAAATCAGTCCAATAGCTGAGCGGGACGTCACGGTCGGGTGACGTCATGACCAGGAAACTATAAAAGCACGTGTGGATGTGCCAGCGTCAGCTTCTAGGAATGAAGCAAGCGCTGGCAGGGATGCCGGAAGTACGGCACCGAGATGCAGCGTCTCGTTCCCTCGAGGAACCAGGGTTGCCGTTCCTCTTCAGGAACTCAAGCTGCGTCGAAAACGCTAGTGGAACGAGAATGCCCACGCCGCCAGACTTCCAAGTTTCTGCCTAGTGTGGAAGACTGCACAGCTAGGGCGAGAGAACAGAAGAGCCAGGAGTGGCTCGCATGTCTAGACTGTAGAACCTAACAAAGGTAAGGGGCGTGGACCACCCCGCAGCATTGCAGATGTCCTGCATAGGCACACCCGCTAAGAAAGCCTTAGAGGCTGCCACACTTTGAGTCGAATGAGCCTTGACCCCTAACGGCGAGGGGAGATCAGAGGACTCATAACAGATGGAGATGGCATCCACTATTCATCGACTGAGGGTCTGTTTAGTTGCTGGAAGACCTCTCTTAGGGGGACTATAGCACGCAAGCAACTGGTCCGCCCTCCTCAACAGGGCAGCTCTGTGGACGTATGCATCCAGTGCTCGCACTGGACACATACAATTAAGCTTCTGCTGGTCTGGTTCCCCGAATGGAGGAGGACTGAAGTCCTGAAGTACGATGGGCTGCGGTGCTGAT